ACAGGTGTTTCCCTCTATTTCTTCAATTTGGTACTTTATACCTAAAAGATGCTCAATAAAAGTCTTTAAACTGATCGATTTATTTGAAGTGATATTAATAAGAATGAATATTTTTATTGTGGGAAGACATTAATGTATAGTAATCAAGAGTCCAGCCTCTAGATTACCTGTGTGACCCTAGTCAGGGCACTTCGTGTTTCTGTGCCTCAGTTGCCTCATTTGTAATATGGGACTAGTACTTAAAATAATACTTAGCACATAGCAAGAATTACATAAGCATTAAATATTATTATTATTATATATTTAGCTTTTATTCAGTGTTTGCTACGTGCCAAGTGCTGTATTGAGTGCTTTGTGTGTATCATTTCAATTAATCCTTCTAGCAACCCACTGAAGTAGGAGTTATTATCATTGTCTCTACTGTACAAGTGATGAAATCAAGACTCCAGGAGTTTAGGTAATTTGACCAAGGTCAAATAAGGTATAGTCAGGAATTTAATACTGTACAGTTGACTCCAGTCATTCTATCATGTTACTCTTGAGGAGCCAGCTTTAACATTTATTATTAAAAGATAGCACAATTCAGGCCTAAAATTCATTGAATGTACATCCCTGTCACTTATTATCATCTAACAACCTTCTCACCTGAGGACTTGGTACTTGGCTCAGGCTGTTTCTCTTACCAGCCTTTCAGTCTCTTCAATGTCTGTCCACCTCTCAAGCCCCAGTGTCTCCTGGTAGCATAAACTCTGATGACTTTAAACGTTGACACCACTTCACCCAGCAGCATCCATGAGTATACTAGACCTAATCATTACCAGCAAAGTGTTCTAACTGTGAAATGATAAATTCTGATCATCACCAAATACTTCTTGGTTTTTTTACACTCGATGCAGTAACAATTGCTCTTTAACCTCATAGAAATCTTTTCTTTAATCTGTCATTTCTTCCTATCATTCTTCTTGAATCTTTTCTGGCTCTTTGCCTAGATTCTATGTTTGATGATTTAATTACTTTCTTCCAATACCATGTCTTAGTTTCATTTTTGCACAATTCCCAGCAAAACTCCAAATTTGAATCCGCATTTCACTTTTCCCCCATACCTGAGTGGTTAAATTTTGATAGAAGAAGTCACATAATCACACAAACTCCACCACTATAAATTCATGGTCTCCAACCTCAGCCAGGCCCTCAACATCACTCATCAATCTGTGAGTGATTTTCAACTTTCATTTTTCAACTCTTGTTTTTCCTAATGACCATTCCAAACTTTCAACATCTTCTTCAAGCATCCTTTAAAAATGAACAACCTTCCCTCCCAATTCATCAGGATAATTGGAGGCTTTAGTTATTGGAGTTTTAGAGATCCATACTTGGCTACAACATACTAGTGTTTCATATTCTTCCTGAGAGATCACTTTCACTTTCCTGGTATAAATACTACTCTATGCTGATGACTTTTCAGTTTATAGCTCCAGCTTGGAGTTATTTACCTCGTGGTTACCTGTGCTTGGTGGTTCCACAATGTCTTAGTCTGTTTCTGCTGCTATAACAAAATACCTTAGACTGGGTAATTTATAAACAACAGAAATTTATTCCTCACAGTTCTAGAGGTTGGGAAGTCCAAGATCAAGGTGCCAGCAGATTCAGTGTCTGGTGAGGGCCAGTTGCTCACAGATCGTGCCTCTCTGTGTCCTTATGTAGTAGAAGGGATAGAAGGGGCTAGCTAGTTCCCTGAAACCCTTATATAAGGTCATTAATCCTATTCATAAGGGCTCCATCCTCAAGATTGAGTCACTTCCTAAATGCCCCACCTCTTTGGGGAAATACATTCAGACCATAGCACACAGGCACCTCGAATTCAAAAGGTTCAAAACTGAACACATTGTTTTTCTAAAACCTGTATCTTTTGCAGGGCATTACTCTCTTCTGAGGTATCATAGGGGTAGGGAGAGTGGCCACCTCCACCCCAGCTAGGAGGCTGGTATTAGCTTTGTGCCCTCTCTTTCCCATACCTTCCACATGCAATTGGTTTTCAAGTCCTGCCAAAATTTCCTCTTGTTTCTGCAATATATCCCCCTTTCTCTGTCCTTATTACTATTTTCCTAATTCAGTCTCTTGACTGAATTAAACTACTGGGACTGCTTCAGAAGCTTCTAATTTTTTTTTTTTTTCTTGAAATAGGATTTCACTTTGTTGCCTGGACTGGAGTGCAGTGGTATCATCATAGCTCACTGCAGATTCCAATTCCGGGGCTCAAGTGATCCTCCTGCCTCAGCCTCTGGAATAGCTGGCACTATAAGCATGCACCACCATGCCCAGCTAATTTTTCTCATTTTTTTGTAGACTGGGTCTTTCTAAGTTGTCCAGGCTGGTTTTGAACTCCTGGCTGCAAGTGATCCTCCCACATTGGCCTCCCAAAGTGCTGGGATTATAGACATGGGCCACTGTGTCTAGCTCCCAATTTTTTGACTTTAGGCTTCGCTCTCTCAAATATATCCTTATCACTCCTGCTAGGTGATCCTTTGAAACACAGATCTGACTATATTACATTCCCACTTAAAACCCTGCACTGGCTCCCCATTGCCTATAGGATGAAGTCCCAGCTTCTTGGCATGGTATACATGGCCATCTGTGTGTGACCTGGCTTTGGCTTCTTTCTGCAGTGCCTTCACTTACCAATCCCTGGCTGTCCCTTATACTTTATTGTTTTTTTGTTTTTTGTTTTTTTTGAGACAGAGTCTCACTTTGTTGCCCAGGCTAGAGTGAGTGCCGTGGCCTCAGCCTAGCTCACAGCAACCTCAAACTCCTGGGCTCAAGAGATCCTACTGCCTCAGCCTCCCGAGTAGCTGGGACTACAGGCATGCGCCACCATGCCCGGCTAATTTTTTGTATAAATATTTTTAGTTGGTCAATTAGTTTCTTTCTATTTTTAGTAAAGGTGGGGTCTTGCTCAGGCTGACCTTGAGGGATCAACCCACCTCAGCCTCCCAGAGTGCTAGGATTACAGGCGTGAGCCACCGTGCCCGCCTGTCCCTTATACTTTAGATACACAGAAAAGCTTACAGTCCCTTTGAGCTGCCTTGTTGCTTCTCACCTTATGGATTTATTAATAATAAATGGGCCCCTCTGCCCAGGCCACTTTCCACTCCTTCACCTTCACCTGGCCAACTCCTACTATCCTTTAAGACTTAGTTCATGGCTCATATCTTTTGGTAAGACTTTCCTAGCAAGCCCCACTCTCAAACTCCGCCCTTGCTTGGGCTCCCCCAGGTCCCTGTTCATTGCACTAAGAAGTCTCAGTGTACTTCTCCATTTATATGTCTGTACTGCAATTAAATTGTGAGCTCTTTGACGCTTGGGACTGTGCATTGTTTCTCCATGTACCCTTGTGCCTAGCAATGGCATAGAGCTCAATAAATACTTTAAAAGTAAACATTGAACAGATGAATAATTCATTAGTGAAAAATTATTTTGCACCTGAAGTGATTTCTCCACTTTATGAACAAGGCAGAAGAAGAGAATCAGTATCAACAAACATTGTGACTATTTCTCAGTCTGATTATGAGTAACAGTAGGCATAGTGACAATCAAATGGCTCTGTGAGATGCAGGGTATCTCACACGAGAAAAACCTGGAATTGTCGGTAGCCACAATAAACCTGCAAGACTTTTAATTTCATTCATATAAAACTCTCATTTAAATCTTCTATGTTTATAGGAGGTCTTATTTACTAAATGAAAAATTATTTACTACACATTAAGTTAATGACATATAGATTCTTGTTCTGAATAAGTAAAAAATGGAACAATGGAAGACAAACTAGAGTTCTTTTTCCCGCTCTACACTGACTTCCCAGGGCTTTCAGAAAGCAGAGGCTAGCCTGCTCCAACAACACCGCACCGTCTAAGCATTTCTTTTTGTAATTCAAGTAATAAGTTGAAGGGGAATAGCATATTTCTCCTGAAGTTCAGCACTATTTATGAACTTCAAGTATCATTAGGGCTCCTTTTGTAGTTAAACTAATATTAATAAGTAATGATTATGGTTAAAAAAATGAAATGCTAATAATAATTATTATTTATATAGAAGTTACGGTCCTCGAATGCTCACTGAATGACAGGTGCTTTTCACAAAGTATCATATTTATGCTTCACAACACCCTTTTAAATAGAAGCTATTTCCCCTTTTTCTGTTTGAAATGAAGTTCAGCGAGATCAGATAACTCGGGCAGGTCCAACCGACAGGCGGGAGGACTCTGAGCCAAAGGCCACGCGGTCTCCGCCGGCAGCACCGCGCCCTGCGGGCTGGGCTGTCCCGGCCCGTGCACGCGGGGCGGGCGCGGGTGGCCGCCGAGGCGCAGAGCCGGCGCGCGCAGGGAGCCGCGGCCGCGGGGCGTGGAGCGGCGGGCACGTGGCGGCCTCGCGGCCAGCAGCGCCGGCCCTGCGGGACGCGACGGCGCGGGGCGCCAGCCTCACGGCGCCGCGCCGCCGCCCGCCGCCGGCCACGCCGAGAGCGCCCCCCCGCCGCGGCTTGGTACGGCCCGACCCGGCGCCGCGGACGAGCGCGCCCGCGGCACGCCCCGGTGGCTCCGCCCGCAGCTCCCTCCGCGCGCGGGCCCCCCGGCGTGCGAGGCGCCGCGCTCCTCCGCCGGGCCCGCCAGGGAGGGCCCGTCCGGGTGGCAGCGGCGCCGCGCGGACGCCCAGGGCGGCCCTCGGAGCCGGCTGCGGCGCAGGAGGTCTGGAGCCTGGAGGCCTGGCCCGCGCTGCGGAGAGGTGCGAGGGGGGAGCCGCGGCCTGGCGGCGCGGGCGGGGCGGGCGCGGCCTGGGCGTGGGCGCGGCCGCAGCCGCCGTGCCGGCGCAGCTCCGACGTTCGCGTCCTCGGGACTCGGAGCCGGCTGCGGGCGGCGGGATGTCGCTGCGCGCGGCGGCCGGGCAGGTGGGGCGGGCGTGCGGGGCGCCCGCGCCTGCTCCCGCGAGCCGTGGCCCCCGCCTCGCAGCCCCGGGCCCCGCAGAGCGCCCGCGAGAGAGAGTGCTTTACATGTAGGGAGTAGCGAGCGAAATTTCCTGCACAATGTATCTTTTTCTGCCCTCTCAGCGTCCGTGACTTCCCAGCCCCAGGGAGTGTGTTTTTCCTTCTCTGAGAAGCTGTCTGCGGATTGCATTATCATTTGCTAAATACATTGGAGCTCGCTCTTTTCTTCAGTCTTAGCTTCCAGACCTTTCTTGCTCCTCCACATCTAGGAATTTCGGTAATAAATCACCGAGGGGAATAGACAGACTGTCTTGCCCTTCCCTTTATTGTCCTCCCTGGCCCCACCGAATCAGGTGGAAGGCTCTGCAGAGCGGCTCCTCTCCGGAATGCCTGCCCTTCCTGGTCAGGAGGGCGGCAGGTGATTTTAAGGGCAGGCTGCTTTCCAGTTGAGATCTAGAATTTAGGGAATCTCATTAACAGAAAGTCAGCCTGTGTGTCTCCAATCAGACACCTTGAAAAACAGGAGTTTGTACTAAAAGGTAACATGAGATTTATTCAGAGGCCTATGCTAGTAAAGATGAAAGAGGGCAAATCAGTTAATTCTGATTCCAGGCCTCTCTGATACCTTAAGCCTCAGTTCCCAACTGACACTTGCCATGCTTAAAGGAGACTGTCTCCAAGGAGAAGGTGGGGAGGGGATTGGAGAAGGAAATAAGCTTGTTCTCAGTATAATTCTAAACATTCTATTACATTTGATAGTTTTTTTTTTCTTCTTCTGGTAGTCTATTTTTAGCTGGAAATGTGGGGATAGTTCAACATTTAGGATAAGAGGAAAGAAAAACTTCAGAAAATTTCTGGAAATTTTAAATTAGCGTTTAACTAGAAAGCATTCTTAGGAACCCAGGGAGGAACCAAATCCTGTAGTCTCTGTTATGCACATGTTGGAATAAACTGTCCCATACTTGAAGTTATACGAGAAGGATGGAGAAAACCTGTTTCATTTTGTAAAGACGTGCCCTGGGTGTGTGTTTGGCAGTGTATAGAACAGAAACATTTATATTTCTATTAAAAAACACACAAATGTATATTGTTTAACTTTCATGCAAAAACTCGGATATAGTGTTTGGGAAATCTGTCTTTGTTTGAATAGTTTAGTCAATCAGGAAAATCAGTTACTAGAGGTACTGTGCTATTGTTTGTGTAGCAACCCACTGGGGATGCTTTGATTGATTGCTGTGGTTCTCATCAGCCTCCTCTTCTGTGCAAAGCACTTAAACAGCTCTGATTCTCAACCCTTCAAGTACAAAGAGCCCTTAGGACTTGGAGTGCACTGATCTAGCTTGTGTGCCTTGGTTTCTAAATTGATATTCTTGCCTTCTTTGCAGGTAGTTTAGGTAGTTTGACTTTGCATGAAAGGAATTAAGTTCACTTTAAGATAGCACCCCCAGCCATCAGGGTATGTGTATGTGTAGATGAAGGCTGTATGTAGGAATAGGAACTTCTGTCATAGGGCTTTGCTCTAAAGGGGTTAGGTAAAATGTATCAATTGGTTCTTGTGCTTTCCTCTTAATTTTCCACTTTGCATGTATGCTTTCATGACTTTGTAGATGATTTTCATCTATGATTTTATCAAAATATAAGTTGAAGTAAAATTTTTGTTCTCTAGAAATGTTTCTTTTGCAAACATTTAGACTAAAAATTAGCGATTGTTTCTAAGCATAATGCTAAAGAAATGATTTCAGGAATTAAACATTGTCTTAGTGAAATCAGAGAGGAGATAGGAAATAAAAAGTAATGAATTGAAAAATTTGTTGTTTTAACATATAATCACATTAGCTAAAACCTTGTACTGTTACTCTGTAGAAGCATAGATGACACATTAGAAATGTAGCTGAGTTGCCCACCTGGTAGTCTTTCTTTACATAGATGAATTTACCACTTAATACAAACTAATTAGATTAGGAACAATGTGGAGTCTGGTTGCTAAATATATTGCTTTGAAGGACTTGTTTTTATTTTGTTTTTTGATTGATAATATTTTCAATAAATTTTGTTAACTTGAATTAGACTATGTTTTGTTTTTATTTAAATTTTTATATTGTATGTAAATATTCCATGTGATAATTTTTGTTGTGTATTTGGCACTAATTCACTTTCAGAAGCATGGGAGGAGGGCTTTATTTGAGACTTTACTGTTAAAATTAAGGGATGGTGGCATATGGAATATAATTAATGTCATTTAAAAAATATTGGATTACAATTAAATGAAAAACTGGTTTGTTGTTGTTTTTTAATCCTTCAAGTTTTCCCTCATTGTTTGTGTTCTTTCCCCCATTGTCAGGCTTAAAACATACAGTATCATTGTCATCTGTCCCCTGAATAATGGTCCTGAGGTGATATTATTAATGTGGCTTTTTAAAATCAAACTAATTATACTTATTTAAAAGAGCCACATGTATGTGATTCTAGCTGCCTGGTGCCTTTTGAGAGCCCTGGAGACAAGCTAGTGAATAGAGCTGAAAATTCATTCTGTATTTGATTAAATGGAACAGACTCGCCGCTCCTTACCCCAGCAGGGGCTGTGAGATCTCTTGATCCCCGAAGCGGCTCCAAGACCCTGGGAATTCCATTAGCGAGCACCTGAGGAATTTCTGCCCTGCAGTGCCTTTTGTGTGTGTGTGTGCGCGTGCGCGGGCACAGAGGGAGTGGGGCGGAGAGGAGTTGGGGGTTATGGGGTGGAGAGAAGGCTACATTAGAAGACTCCATATGTTAGCAGATCTGAAATCAAGGCCTGACTTAACAGCTTATCTTGGAAGAGAAAAGCCCAACCCAAAGGCACATTGCTAGTGCAGACTTTATTACAAGCAGGACTGTGCTGATGTGTTTTTAACACTGAAGTGAACTCCAGTGTAAGTACAGAAAATCGCTTCTTTGCTTTCCCTCCGAAGCACAAGCATATACACGTTGCAGACTTGGTGAGTTTTCTTTGAATGATCTTTTGATAAATATGTAAAATTGTCTTACAGTTTGGTCTTGCCTGTAAGAGCTGATGTGTAATTTTAATAACTTTTAAAACAGAGTAAAATTAGACTTTTATGTGAAGCAAATTGTTTACGGAGATGAAATGCTTGTTTGAGTAGGCATATTCTACTTTTGATATGATTTTATTGGGTTTTTGTTACACTATTATTATTATTATTATAGAATTTAAATTCATTTAGGGTAGGTCTATCTGTTGTCTTTTTAAGAATTCTGATTTCTAGTATTTTTGAGATATTACTTTGCAGACTTGCTATTAGCCCCCAATAAATGAAAATATATCTACCAAAAACATTCTGTAAAATCTTTGGAGAAAAATTTTTGAGAAACATTTCTGTGTCTTCTTTCCCTGTCTCTGCCCCAAATGATTTTGGGGCACAACCTTTTTCAGAATATTAGTCTAGTTTTTTTTTTTTTTTTTGCATACTTTTCAAGGAAGACCAGTTCTGAATTGTGGATGGTGTAATCAGTTTTCATCTTCTGAGAATGTGAATTTCAGTGCTCATAGTTTTCCACTAATGCCTAATGCAGTAGCATGTTTGATGGGTTATTTGATGTATTTTGTCCCTGATTAAAATTATGTTGTGTATAGAGCACAGCTTTTCCCATCCTACTCCCATGTAGTCCTTTACCAAATTCTCCTCACAATACAGTGTGTTTAGAAAATAAAGAAGCCTTTTTGAGAGTATGTTTAATTTTTTCCCACCTTTATCCTGGGCATGCCTCCTACTAGTATTTCCAAATTGAAAAGACTCCTGAATGAATTGGAGCAAACACTGAAGTTAGCATTGTGCTCATCTTGGTTTACAGCTATTTAGTAGCTTTACTGTGTGATATATTTTGATGGCCAGAGATAATGAAAAAACTACCCCAAAGAATATTTTCTTCTGTTATGTATCAGTTGGAATGTGAGTAGGGACTTCAGTTCTTGATAGCCAGTGACGTGCCTTTTAATCTTAATTGAGAGAAAAATATGTATTAGTTATGTTATTGAACTTAGGTTACATCTTCTGCTTATGTTTTGCTGCTTAGCACTGTGTGCTTAATTTTATTTTTATATCACCTTGATACAGAGCACTGAGAAGTTGACACAGAGCTTGCTTTTCAGCTATTCTTGTTATAGACCAACTCACCTCTTATTATTTATGTGGGCTTGGGTGATGATCTGAACCTAAGCCTTGGATTTTTTATCTGTAAAATGGGGATTAAAAACAGTAGTATCTCTTACTACTTTTGTGGGGATTAAATGAGATAATGAAAATAAAGTGCTTGGCATATAGTAAAATCTCTATAAATGTCCGCTGCCGTTATTTTTATTAACTCCTTTTGTACTTGTTAGTGTATTACTTTGATCTCAAAGTGATTTCTTTGAAGTACTCAATAATGAGGAATTCTTGGAAGTTAGTAATAGTGTGGGCACATGTAACTGCTGTAGTTTTTAGTATGCTAGTTTTCTTAAATTTACAACTGAAACTAAGGAGGCACTTGGAGACAATGTGTTACATTGTTTTCCAGTTGAGGTATAATATAATGTACACAAGTGTACAGCTGATGTACACTAATAGAACAGCTGGCTGAGTTATTACATGTGCACATACCTGTGGTAACCACTACCCAGATCAAAATACAGAAGATTTCCTTTACCTTGGAAGGCCCCTCGTGCCCTTTCCAGGCAGCTGTCCCTCTTTCTTGCAGGCAGTGACTTTTCTGACCAGTCTCACCATGGATCAGTTTTGCCTGTCCTTGAACTTTATAAAGGTGGACTCACACAGTATATACTCATGTATCTAGTGTCTTGCACTGCTCATTGGGTCTGTGAGACTTATTTATGTTGTATACAGTACTAATTCATACTTTTTAAATTGTAGAGTCTTTTGTGCATTTTAAAATTCACAGTAGTTCATTTTATTGGCACATTGGGGACATGGGCATTGGGGAGAAAAAGAAAATAACAACACTTCTTCCTAAATTATTAGAAAATCAGATCCCAGTGGCTATGTTAGAAAAATAATCATGACCTCATTTTTATACATAAAACTAGGTTGAAGGTAATATGATTACCTTCAATCACAATTCCATAAACCAAACCCTTTGATAACTGTATTCTTGGGATATGTTTTTAGGAGAGAAAGAAGGGCCTCAAAATAGGGGGAAATAACCATCTAAGGCAGTTCATACCCTTCATGCTTATGCTTAAATGCCATAATCAATATTTAGAATTGTGTAGAAGTAACAACCACCAGCCCAGAATTTGTGTAATATTCTTTGAGTTCAAAGTGAAACAATTACAATGTTTTTTTAAAAAAATCCACCCAAAAAAAGTAATAAAATGTAGCTAGGCTGTTATACTGCAGGAAGGTTTTGAAGAAAGTGACCAAACACATGAGGAAGAATTTTGGCTACTGACTGACCTTAATTACCAATTGTTGTTAGGCTGTGCTTATATGTTTAGCATCTCTGTTTGTATTGTTGGAATCCCCTGCTATGCTACATAAAATTTATTTCACAAACAATGATACAAGATGATTCAGTGAATGAATCAGAATTTTTTTTGCTTTGCTTTGTTTTAAACTTTGGAGGGGACACTGACTAACGTTAACAGCTCGTATTTCTGTTGTTGGAAATGTTAAGGATTTTCTAGGTGTGTTCCTTGATCACACTAGCCACTTTTCTCTCAGGAGACAGTGTGTTTTTCAGCATTTGTAATTTTATTAAATTTTACTATTCATAGCCCTTTGGCACAAGGTCATTCTTCACATACAGCCGTATGCAGGGTTGGTTTCCCCGGACTCCAAATTGTACCCTTTTCTTCTTAAATCAGACCACTGGAGGCCGGGATTTCCTTGGGGGTGGGGAGAGTTGAAATAGTGATACACGATTCATCTTTTGTTCTATAGGGGCTCGCAGAGATGCAGATTATGTTTCAAAAGAAAGAACTATCTGACAAATAGAGCTGCCTCATGAGAGAAAATGCTGCTTTGAAGGGACACAAGCTCCTTGTTACTGGATGAGTTCTGTTATTGTTTGCAAAGGATAGCATGGAAAGAATCTCTTCCTTGGGTGAGAGATTGGACCAAATGACATCTACGGGCCTTTGCAGTTCCAAGGCTCTGTGAAATAGGCTTTGTGGTGTGGCGAGGCTACACAGTCACCATGTAAACGATTTTGGAGGAAAAAACATGTTAAAGCTCCAAATAGCCACTGGGTAAATACATTTTCCCAGATCAACCCCACTTTAAAGTTGAGAATTGCCTTTCCTTGTTGTCTCATTTTAAATGTAACCCTAAATTTATCACTAACAAGTAAATGTCAAATATTCTTTCTTTCTTACGTGAAATAGGGACTTTTCCAGTCTCTTAAGTGTATCAGTATCAGAAATGATATTACTTTACATGTATAGTATATGATACCACTTTATGTATTAATAAGTATACATCTTAGAATTTACCTGAATCCATCTGTTGGCCCAGTTATTTCTTCACTCGTACAACAAATTAGATACAAAGTGAAAATTATCAAATGTTCTTCTTATCTCACTCTCACCCAAACTTTTCTACATTTGAATTTTAAGAACAAAATAACTCATATAGGCAGAGAAAGAGTGCTATCAGTGACTTATTCAAGCAGCAAAACCACGTTTAGGGTATTTTCTAGGATCCATAGCTATTTAACTGTGTACATATCATGTGTAGTACTTTATGTTAATAATTGATATTTATAATTTATTTTTATTTAAAAATTTTTTAAATTTATTTTTATTTTTTTATTCAAGCATGATTGAAGGGATGGTAATATCTTGAATTTCCAAAATAGTGTTTTCTCCATTTTATAAAGTAAAAAATTACATTGAGTTTTTACAGTTTTATATTTATATATGTGCATCAGTACCATTTCTATCCTCCCTGTAACTTACAAACAGGCTTCGTTTATCTCTTCTCTGTTACCATTCCTTACTCCTCCATCCTCCTTTTCAAACTTTGGAAGACAGACAAGAGGAGATTCAGAATGTGAGAAGAAAAAATGCCTTTGCAACTTCTGCTTTATTAAACTGTCACTAACTCATCCTCCTGTCTCCAGTCTTGGTTTTCCCCCTTTTATATCATCCGTTTTTCCACATTTCGCCAGAGTAATGATCTTCCTAAAACATAAATCTGGTCATGTGATTGCTCTCCTTAAAATCCTTCCAAGTCCTTGAATTGTTCCCTTCTTAAAGCTCAAGTCTTTAATAGGGTTATTTATTTACCTGGTACAGGGTTATTTATCTACCTGGTGCTTCTGCCATCCCCAGCTACTTTGCATTCCATGAAGTTACCATACCTTCTTGCAGGCTGGGATTGTGTCTGTCAGGGCAAAACTGGTATGGTGTCATAATGCATACATGTCTGTCTTAGTCCTTAAGGACAGACAATGTGATTTTCCCCTATATGTGGTCAGCCCACCCACCCCTTTCTTTATACTCTGCCACATAAGTGCTAAACACTCAGATGTCCTGAATGGCATTCGTGTGCATTTGAATTTCTTGTATGTGGGTGGTGGTGGTGGTGGTGGGTATGTTAAAATTCACATTCTGATTCAGTAGGTCTCTGGTGGAACCCAAGATTCTTCCCTTCTAACAAGTTTCCAAATGATGTGATGAGGTGAGTGGAGCACCCTGAGTAGAAAGATGCTAAAGTATCTTCTTTAGGTCCACGAATGATTTCAACACACAGTTTTGCTCTTGAAAATCCAATGAAATCAGTGACTCTCCATGTCCAATTTAGGGAGCAATATCACAGCTTCAAACAAGATTAAAGAAAGCTTTATATGAAGGAAGAAATAGTAAAATGTTGGATATACTAAGACATCTATTATCATATTATTATATTACTAGAATACTTGCCAAATATTTTGACTATTTTAACACTTTTACTATTTGAAGTGTATATATTCTGTGCAA